TTTCCATAAGTGGGGTAAAACTATGGAATAATTTAAGTGTAGACATAAAAAATAGTAATAGAATTGATGATTATGTTAATGTCCCCGTGACAATAAAAAGAACTAAAATTGCAACTAAAAACACTTTTTTTATTTAATTGCTTGATCAATAACAAAAGTCATAAAATAGTGACAAATTTCCTGGGGCTCTAGTCTTCAGATGTCTTCTTCTGTTTAAACATAAATATAAAGGTATGTGTCAATCAAGATATATGCAGGAACAGGTTTAATGTTAGATGGGGTGTGGTGTATGAATGTTAACACTTTGTAATAATTCTTTAGTATATTACTTGTGTGGTGTAGAAGATAATTATTTATCTAGAGATATTGCTTAGGATTTAAAAGTTGTAAAATGATGTCATGGGGTAGGACTGGATAAGTCTGACTTCTTCCTTCTCCATTCAAGCATGTACTAGGTATAAGCAAATTGATTTTGGACTATTATTGTTGGATATGTGTAAAATTACATGTGTTGACATAGCAACTGTTTTTACATGCTTGAATGAATAAATCAAATCAAATCAAAATCTTTGCAGGAATAACAACACATGATTAATTTAACATTTAAGATAAAACTAAGTTGATAGCTATATAATTAATAACTCTGCTTTTTCCTAGCAGACTCTATCAGTTAAAGATATATATAGTCAGGCTTCTACTTAAAAAAGAGTAAGTACAAAATTATCAGTCTGCTGGTTGAAGAAATTACTCTTATTCCTCTGCTTCATGTTCTGTAACAGTGTGATAAGACACACACTGACCTCCAGTCAAGTAGAACTGTAGAAACATAGACAGAACATACTGTACAGTTGACATTTGTCACAATTTTAGCAAGTTTTAATCAACAAAAGTATTTGGATTCATTAATACTTTACCTCACTCTCTGGTTTTCCTGAATACTTGATATTTTTATTGGCTGTAAATTTGACATCTCATACAATAATATTGACCTAAAACCAAACATGCAGTGAGGCCTTAAAAAGTTCAAAGTACACTGATAACCACCAATCAATGTCAGAGTGTTTGCTGTGGCTGTACAAAGTAAAGGTGAAACCTTTGCTCATCTACTAAAGCATTCAGTCATGTTAATATACATCATCATGCTACATCACTGTTTATAAATGAATACAAAATCCCCTGAAGTGTTTACACCATGTTCAGTTATATATTTGTTTCAGATCAAAATTTGCTTTGAGATTTAATGTATGAAGTGGCAACAAACAGTCAGCTCAGAACAGGTGTCACACAAGTACTCATATTCTTAAGTTGTAGTAAGAGTGTAAAATACTGTAATACATGTACAAATAATTAACAAGTAATTAAAGATAAGTTACGTTTATTTGATGGGGTAATTAAAGTAGTTACATGTTACACTTGCAGCAGGGTAACTAGTAATCTGGGGCAGCTGTGGCTCAGGAGGTAAAGCAGGTGGTCTCCTAAGCAGAAGTTTGATCCCTGTCTTCTCCGTTCCGCATGTCGTGTCCTTGAGGAAGACACGGAACCCCCAGTTGCTCCAAGTGATGTCACCGGTGATGTGTGGGTGAATGGGCAAACAGTGTCAAAGTGCTTTGAGTGTGCTGCAATGCATCGAAAAGCACTATACAAGTATTAAGACTATTACCATTTACATTTCAGAAGTAAGCTACCTCTCAGAAGTTTAGTAGGTAAAGTCAGGAAGTTCAGGTAAGTGCTCACTCTCAGGACGCTTGTTTGGGCACAGTTTGAATGATCAGTGGAGCTGATTGGAAAGCAGGAAACAACAAACAGGTTAGTATGGGCAGCGGGCTAGTCATAATTAAGGAGTAAAATAATTCAGTATGAAGCAGAAAAGCAAATCATTTGTACAGAAGACAGACTACTGACCAGATCCAGGAGTGTGTCCTCTCTCTCTCCCTGTACCTTTTTGCAGGTTGCCCTGGAGCTCTACATCTCTGATGAGCAGTCACCAGCCACATCGACCTGATCAGTGTTTGATTGTTGTGTTTAAAGTCATATGAGACCCTTCTGCACTGACAATCTGCATCTATAAATTATTTTAAACATGTTGCTAAATATAAGATGCATGCCTATGTATTTCAGTTTTATAGGCGCATGAGCATGTAACTGAAAAATACCTGTCTTTATATTTTTATAAAACAGGTAGTTTGTTGTTGTTCTATTTTATTGTGTAATAAAATGGAAATCATCAATAGTTGTCAGGTAGCTTTTGGGTTAGAAGGGTATTTTAGTTCACATATGAGTGTTACTTTGTACATATCAGACAAAGAAAAAGGCTTTTTTGAAACTAAAAACATAATTTTCCTTAATGGAAGAGGTTATTCAGTAAGAACAAACAAACAAATATTATGTTTAATTACACCAGGGCATTTTCAACAAGATTACTTCTATTTGAACATGTACTGGAATAAAGAATAAAGTTTTAGTGTGTGCTGAATGTGCTAAACCCCATCTCTATGCCTCCTGGCTTGTGTCTGCTCTGCATTATGTAGTTATAGTGAGAGAGAAATTCTTTAAACACAGACGATTAATGGATGAAACAACACGCTGTCTTTTCAGTGTTGCATGTTGAGCTTTCTAAAACAACAAAAACACTGGCTGCCCTTATTTACATTATATGTGTTAATAAGAGCTCTTGACTGGATACATTCTTAATTCTTAAAGAACAGCTCTTCATATTCTCTGTTATCAGAAGGGATTCAAATATAGTAGCTGTCATGTCTTACAAGCTGTTACTCCTCCTATGATCTATTCATATTCTATAAATAAAGCTCAGTGTGCAATAGGGGCGTTTTGAGATTCATCTGTCATACACATTCAAAAGCATTTAGTTAATTTCTCAGATAATATCTAAATGATTAAGTTTATCTTTGATCATATTACATTTGTCAGTTGTGTCTGAAGATAGTGCCTGTGGGTTATTAGAAATCCAAACATGAAAATAGTTTAGTTAGAAATCATTTTGACTTATACTATAAAACAAAAATGAGTACAGCCCTGAACATTACTATAACACTAACAACATTACAGATTGTAAGGAAATTGCCTCTCCTGCCATGCTTCTTGATTGTGAGACTTATCTTTTCATCCACTATTTGGGTACAAACTTGTACTCACAACGTCCTTTGTAAATATTCTCTTCTCTACACATCTTGCGCTCATGTAGCCCCACATCTGCACACTCCCACCTCCATGTCACAGTCTGCATTGTGCAGTCAGTGCTGGTCCAGGCCCGGTCCATGTGAAACACGCAGGACCCATGTGGCTCAAACTCATTTATTTTGGTTTCATTTTAGGAAGAAAAACTCAAGATTCATAAATGCTGTAAAAATTTGGTAAAGTTCCCAACTAAGCCCACGATCAGCATTTTGCCTTGGATTTAGCAGTCGCACTGTGAGCACACAGGTTATCAAAGTCATATTCCAGACCTCACGTAGGCCTATAGTTTCAACTGCAGAGCCTTGAGGAAAAAAAGCCAGTTCCATTTATTGTTTGGCTATTTATTTTTTACCTTATGACAGTTTAGTTTAAATTAGGTTGACCTTGTGAAACCTTTGTATAAAATATCAAAAACCTTTGGATTTAGTCACATGATGTGATGCACTGAATGGCAGAAAAATATAAGCAGACACAGTTGATCTTTCTCTGTTGTTGCTACGATTCATTTTGTCCTGGGATATACAGTATGTATAAACTAGTATTCAAAATAAATGTATTGTGTGTTCGTCAGTGCTGTTGAACAGTGTTCAGGACACTCCAGTTTGACCACATGAAATGCACAAGTGCACTTGATATCAAAGGACACAGGGACACATTATGCAGATAATTTCATTAGCTCGTTGTTGTACAGAACTGGCTCTCACACTAGTTACTATAAATCTAGACGTCTCACAGCAAAATTCACAAGCACCAGTAACACATGTATCACATAAAATGTCCATTTTACCTAGTCATTTTATTTATGTGCACTAAAACGTGAGCAACTTGAAGTACACTATACACTTGGTCTCACAGTGTCGAGCAACAATAATGCAAAATGACAGTACAACTACACAGCTACACCACCACAAATAAAACCTGAATTACAGTAAACCTAGAAAAATATCTGCAGGTCTCAGGAGTCAGTAAATACTATTTAATGGGTGGAAATAATAGGCAACCCAATAATTAAAATGAAATATTTTCACAAATAATTTATCATATACACACCGTTTATAGCTACTAATGAACCCAACAAACCCATCGTAGCCTTTACTGAGAAATGTTGAATGTGCTGGCATCATCATCATCATCATCATCATCATCATCCGTTACGTTACACCTGCCGGTGGTTTGGGTATTCACTTCCTCTTGCTCAGTGACCTGCTCGTTGCCCTCATGGGATAAATTCTTCATCAGGCTGTAGAACATCGGCACATCGTACTTGGCCTCTTCCTGTTTTTGTCGCCAGCTGCACTTGCAGAGCTTTTTGAATGCAACACGAAACTTCTGAGACATTAGGTTGTAAATGATGGGGTTGATGGCGCTGTTGGCATAGATGCACATCCGGCAAAAGAGCACAAACCAGGCGTTCTGATAAGGTGGGTTGATGAAGGAGTTTACCAGCACCAGTGTTCGATACGGCATCCAGAGCAAGGCGAAGAGGACCACCACCACAGCCAGCATCTTTGTAATCTATAGAGAGACAAAGGAACAAGACGCAAAAGAGTGTGACACTAATGCCATAATGCACAACTAGCTTAACATGACTCACTGTAGCCCCGACTTGTGACTTTCATGTGTTGCATATATTCAAGTCACAGAGATCATCTTCCCTGAGCGTTCAAAATTGAAGCTTGCAGAATGTTTACACCCTGTACAGTCACTTCATAACATTCACCCAATATATGAAGGTATTTCCTAGATCCTCATAGATTCTTTGAATGAAATGGAATCAAAAACAATCTGGTCCAGGCCAGGAAAAATATAAATGTTGTCAGTTTTTGAGTTACAGGACTTGCTTTGCAGATGATTTTTGATACTGTATCATCTTGCTTCCTTCTCAGGATTAACATTGTGGGTACAATTTACTAATTAGCACTAAAAGCTAAGTGCAGCTGAGAGCAATGAGAATGGTGTTAATCCTCAGAGTCAGTAGGATTCATCTGAATGTCTTGGGAATCCATTCGCTGTTGAGACATTTTGTAGCGCATAGTCAAGGTTTTAACTTGGCAGTTTCTTTTTGCATTAACCACAAATACAGTGTGATGAGAAATGATTTGCCTTCGTTGCTCTAAATGGTGTGTCAGTCTAGTCTCTTCAGTACCTGTTTCCTCGCAGAGACTGCTCCCTTGTTGATGCTGTTGGAGTGGCCCCGGTGAACCGACCCTCCTCCGCATTGGTCATTCAGATTTGAGGGCAGAGGGCTCATAAACAAAATCTGTGCGATGAGCCCGTACAGCAAAGTGGCCACAGTGAGAGGGATCACATAAAACAGAGTGAAGTCCAGGAAATAGATTGGCATGTAGAGGCTCCTGGAGACACGGTAGCCACAGGTGACCACCACCCCGTTGGCATACACAGTTTCATCTGTGTCTACTAAAAAGAACCACATGATACAGTAGAGTGAGGTGAAGATCCAGACTCCAGTTATGATCCTCTTGGCCCGGGAAACAGTGCATATGAGCTGTGCCTTTATAGAGTGACAAATGGCAATATATCGTTCAATGGTGAACGCTGTGATGGAGCAGGATGACACGTTGATGCCCAAATACTGCAGAAAAGTTATACACACGCATCCAGTATATCCATAAATCCAGAAAGCTACAACATCAGAGATGTTGGGCAGCCCTGCAGCCAGGAGCACAATGAGGTCTGCAACAGCCAGGCTGACAAGGTAACAGTTGGTCGGGGTCACCATGTGTTTAGTGCGCAGCACGACCAGCACCACCATGATGTTCCCAGCAATTCCAACTCCACAGATGAACAGAGTTAAAAATATTGTAATGATCTGTTCTTCAAGAGGCTTCAGGGGCATTTCTGTTAAATTTACGACCTGGGGGACATCCTCAAAGATGGTTGTGTTGTTTTCCATTGTGTCCAAGTCCCGCAGCTAAAATTCAGTTGGTCTTCAGGGTCACAAAGCAAGAATCCTACAGACAGAAATGAAAAGAAACAACAGTGGTTGCCACTCTAGAACAAAGGGCTGAACTGCAATGATTATACAGAGCTTTTTACACACTTTTGAGACTTTTTTTAACTTAATGTTATGATGTGAACTAAAGACAAGAAGGGAGGGATGATAGAGAACATTTAATCACTAATATATACTTTAAGATTAATAATGTTGGTCCTAGTAACTTCTTGACTGCAAAGGAATAAATTAAGCTCTGAAACAGTGACAGGATTGTTGTCCTCTACATATCGTAATGCACAGGCACACACAACACACTGCACACACTAAAGCCATCATTTGCAGCTATCTGGTGTCTTATTTTTTATGGAAAATTAAAATATAATTCTGGGGGAAGTGAAAATAAATTACTCTGTCCTGCTCTAGCAGACTATTGTCTCTCTCTATATATAACTTGTTAAAACATCTACAACTGATTCAATTAAAAAATTATATTATGACAAAATAAGTATTGCTATGATAAAAAAAAAAGAAAAAGGTAGCTTACCATCATTTGCAGCGTTCACTCTGACGTGGTCGCAGCGCTCAGGTGCAGTCAGCCTAGAAACACAGATGCCTGCTTCACCCTCCTCCAAATCCACTTTAGTCGTCCTCATGCAGTATAACTCTCTCTTGCTGTTTGAGTGCTCCCCTCCCTCCTTTTCACATCGCACATCATTATATCCTCACAGCCTTGGATAGCCACCAACTTAAAAATCAATTCCACCTCCCCATCCAAGCTCACAATGTCAAGTCAAGCACTATGACCATGGCTGTAACCACAACCTGCAATTACTGAAAGAACATAGGATGTAACCTACAATTCAACTCATCATCCACTGCACTGACTGGCCATTGAATTAAAATGGTGCTAATTATGAAGCTGACCTTTTTCTTTTTGCCCCTTGCATACTTATTTTAGGCAACACTTCATCTTGAGCTAAAGGACAAATTAACAGCGTTGGATTCTCTGGTTTGGCAAAGATTCAGGAGTGAAGAATCTTGTTGCCTGAGGGACAAACGGAAGCACACTCCCAGATTCTTGCTGGCACATTTGGGAAAGCTTTCACAGCTCCCGGCAGCCTGACTGTGTCATAGAAGCCCTGATACAGCCTGGTGATCCCAGTAGCTGAAAATATTAGATCAGAACTTGTCATCCTAAACAAACAAAAAGGAACAAAAAAAAGTTTTTAACACGAGTATGGAAACCTCTCACAATTGCTCGGTGGCAGGCTGCCAGTGTGAATACTAATGCTTGCATTTTCATAGAAGAATAGTTTTCACTGGCAGTACATACAGGCTGCCAGGCTTCCTCTAATGGACAGATCACAGCTTCACAGAGGGGCAAAATAAATCCTGCGGCTCAGTTCTTGTCCAGGAAACTGCCTGACTGAACTGCTGCATGCTAAGGAGTCTGTGCTGCACTGCGTCTGAGCATGTTATAATTACTGTGCTCACCTCCAGCTGTCCACACGATTTAAGTCTTTATCTTATTTATTTCTTAATGCCATGCTTGTGGGCCAGTCAGTACAAACTTAAGCTGTGCATCCAACAATTGTTCAAACCCACTGATGTTTATTTCAGCTTCAAGTGGACACCCCACATTTATCAATAATCAGTCTTTCGGTCCAGTTCATTTCCAATCTGAATAAATAAAATACAGTGTGTCCCACACAGAGAAAGCAGCACTTTCCTGGACAAACAACAAATCATCTACTATATTTTGAGACAACCATGAAGTGGAGAAAGCCAGAATTAAAAATAGACCATAATCTGGTGTTCTATTATTATTCTAGGATGGGGTTTTAAAATAAACTCCTGAAGTCTCGTGGGAATCTGAATCAAAAGTGAGCTGATATGCAAAGTGCTTTTCCTGGGAAAGGAAGTGATTTTTTTAGTAAGGGCACAATGATTAAATATGTTTAGATTGATTAGAAGACTGACACTGCTCTCACATCTTACCTGAGGGGAGAAGTAATGCGCTTTGTGATCAACTTCATTCTTTATGAGCTGAAGGAGAATCAGGATTGGGAAGTGTTGTAGGACTGTGAAGGTAAAAAGGGGAACTTCACTGAACAGTCACTGTCATGTTTGTGTTTGTGGGTGTGAAACAACTCTTCTCTAAGTAAACCACACATGACACAGAATCATATGGAGTGGCATGATGCTTGCACACAGTCAGTGTGACTTGGGTCACTAGGGACACATTCAGAGCGACAAAAGATGTGGTCAGATGTGATGTAGTGTGTCGTATTTGTCTCATTTAGTGTTGACACCAGTGTGATCACAAGTTTTTTAAAGTCCCCCTCCACTCAACAGAGTATATCGCTGGCCACTAGAAAGATCTTTTTTACACTACAATTACTTTCTATAGGGGACAGGTGGGTGGATTTTGGGGGATGGGTGATGTTTGACTGTATCCAGGCTCACTACTGAACCATTTTGCTTATTCTACACTTTTCTCCACTTTGTCAAGCGAACAGACTGTAAAACTGATAACTGTTGCACATTCCGTTCCTACGTGTAGCTGCAGGTTGGTCCATCCACCTACATGGAGCTCAGGTGCACCCAATCACAGGGCTTCAAATACGCAGTGTAGCATCTGAATTGACTGCCAATCAATAGTTCTTTAAAGGTTCTCTAATCATATGAGAAGTAAAAATCAAAAATTTAACATGTTTGTTATGTTTCCATCCTTCTCCTCTGTCACTGGACGTCATGTCAGGCTGCACACCCTGGTTGCCATACTGTATATTACCAACTGTACAGTGACATTGTTCTTCTCAGCTGCCAACCAGATAAAATGTGACAGCAAAGCCTTAGTGGTGACACACAGACTGAACTGTCCTGAGCTTTCCTGAAACATCGCTGACTAGCCTGAATTAAAGAGTGCAATCATTTCAGCGTTAATGAAGTCATCATGGTTTACTGCCTGTCCATACTGCTTAGTTTGCATTGTTTGCACTGTTTGTTGCTGTTAATACTACTTAGTTTGTTATACTAGCCTTATGTTGGTTTACTGTTTACTTGCCCCTTGCATGGGGATATGTACGTGCACATTGAGAGCCAATATACCAGAGTCAAATTCCTTGTGTGTCCGACACACCTGGCCAATAAAGCTGATTCTGAGATGAAAATCTTCTCCGCTGTGTTGCCTGTCACTTTCTATGACTTAGACAGAGTGGATGGGTTGGCTGCTCTGAGAGGTTGTATTCCTGTTGTATCTGGTCTGTCTTCTGTCTGTCTGTACATTTGGTTTAACTTTAATGCTACTGTGTCTACCAACTGTGGGTGGTTGTACACATGCACACATACCGTACACTAAGTACTATATTTTGAAACAACCATGAAATGGACAAAACATCAGTGCACACATGCCATACACTAAGTACTATATTTTAAAACAACCATGAAATGGACAAAACATCAGAATTAAAAATAGATGATAAACTGGTATGATTATGATTATATTATGATTCTGGGAAGAGGTCTTAAAATAAACTCCTGAAGCCTCGTGGGAATCTGAATTAGGAGTGAACAGATATGCAAAGTACTTTTCCTTGGAAAGGAAGTGAGTTTTTTTTTAGTAGCACACTGATTAAAATGGGCAAAAAAAATGATTGGATGTATGTCTGAAACAGATTCATTTAATCTATTATAATAGTCTAGGCCAGTACAATATTCAGATGATTCATTGTCAGATCTAATCTATTACCACTCATTTCCTGGCAGGAGCCACAGTATTATTCTCTGTCCTCATCTATCCAAAGCTCCACAGTGGCATCTAGTGTGGTTGAGGGGTAAAAATAAAATTAAGTAAAGAAATAAGCCATTAAAATGTATTCACGGATCGTTAGATGCGCGTGCACAGGTCGCCTGACACAAGTTGCACGCCCACGTGGGAGTTTTTGAGAGGATTTTCTCGCTCTGTATGGTGCAGGACAGGAGGGAAACTCTGGCATTTGGCTTTTCACGTTCTTTTCCAGAGATAAATTTGCTGGAAAAAAGCTTTGACAACTAAACGTCCGAGTTTTCGACCTGTATTTAAACGCACCATACGTTTGTGGATCTCAATACCTCGCACGCGAGCGTAACGTGATTCACGTGTGTCAGGCAGTCTGTGCACGCGCATCTAACGATCCGTAAATATATCTTAAAGAAATGCACACAGAACATCGTTTTTACACATTTGTGAATCAGGTTTTTAATTGTAGATCGACAAACATCTATTTGTGGCCTTCACGAGACACATACAAATCGGATTTTACACGTTAGTAACCTTGTCAGGATTTGTAAATTGCTGAATACATGTTTGTGGCTAGTTGTGAGAGTATTTTATACCCAGAAATATGTGCTCTGTGACCTTTGTGTGGTGAATTAAAAAACCTTGTTACTGGGTGTGTTTGTGTCAAGCAAACACGGTAGATGCAAACTGAGCAGATGTGGTGCCACATCTTAGAAAACCACATCAGATTTAAGTGTGAGCGCCTAAATGGAGGCTGTCGAGCGTTGATACGCTTGTAGGACAAAAGGTGTTATGGCAGTGACTCATGCACAGGATGCTCTATCTTCCATTTGTGTTGCTAAAACAAACCCCGCACATGAACACCAATCCAAGAAAGACTGCAGCGTGGGAAACAAAGGTTCAGAGCCAGGCTAGCAGCTCTGCTGTATTTAGGCACAGTGGTGCTTTGAGCTAATGTCACTACTGCATTGAACAGTAATGAGCTCGCCCATGGGAAACTTAAACAGAAACAGTCTCTTTTTGCTCTTTTCTATTCAGCTTAACTTGTATTTTCTTCATCAAGTAAGCCATTCTCTTCTCCTCCTGCTCTCTGAAAAAGGACGCAGAGATTTTCCTGCGCAGGCGTCGGGCATAAACCTCAAGAAACACCAGGGAGTAGCTCATTAACCAAAGAAACCCCAGCAGCAGTGTGACTCCCAGGTTTGGAGCTGAAGTTTTCACATCACAGAGCGATGGCTCGGGGCTGAAGGTCCACTTGTAATCCCGGTGGAAGTTTATCACCTCCTGTGTGTTGCAGGATGTTGGAATAATACATAAAGCAGGGAGAAATGATTGAACCTGAAAGCAAAAGAAATTCATGTGAAGCCTAAATGTGAGGAAGCATAGCATATATTGCAGGTACAATGAAGGAGCTGTGGCGGTGAAACAGTGTGTGTGCTGTCTCACCTTATAACTGACACTTATCCCAGCAGATGTAGGAGGAAAATCCAGTAACCACGGCAATATCACCTGAATTATATGATACACAACATGATCCAAAGCCACAATTAAAGTTATTGCAATGTAATATAATGTTACTACAACTAGTGATATAAGACAAGAGGTACATTCCTGACTTGTTATTCTACAGCTTGTGGCACTGATTTTATTTGTAGCTGGCCTTTGGCTGCCAGCAGGAGCAGCTTCTTTCAGGAGCTCCTGGGAGAGGTAGCCATTATCAAACTGAACTGACGTCAGATAAGATTTCAAGTAGCGTGCAGATTCAAATATTAGTAAAGCAACAAAAATAGCAGCAAGGATCCGGTTCGACAGCAGTTTGCATTCTTTCAGCAGGTTCCTGGCCTGGGAGAAGTTGACCTCTATTTGCCCAATCATCTCAGTAAACCTGCTTTTGACTGCTGACACATTAACATGTGTAAAATCATCCAACCTCCTCAAGTTAGTGACAATGCTTAAGTCTTCTCTCTTCACCTTGATGGCTTGTTCAACAAGGTCTCGCTTCGCTTTGTTCAAAGGATCAGACGTGTTTAATAAAGTCTTTGTAAAACCCTCAGCGGTGCACTTGAGGATGTGTGCAACTGCACCTATGTTAACTGTGATGTTAGGGATGACGTTCAACACTAAAATCATGACAGAGGCAGAGATGAGGAGTTTGCGTCCCTGTTTAGTACAGACAGTGGGCAGAGTCATGGTTAGCACGCAGCGCAGAGGGTGGCAGAGGAATGAGACCAGAAACATGGCCACGCTGTAAACGCAGGAAGTCTGAGTAGACGCTTCATGGTCGTATTTTAGAGTCTTGGACAGCCAGTGGTGAAGCAGGCCGCCGGTGATGATGGCGAGGGTGAAACAGAGGGACAGCAGAGTGAGGACGTCTCTGCCAGCAGGTGTAGGTGCAGAGTAAACATCCCAGAGATACAGCAGGACAGATTTTACAGTCTGGCTGTAGGATCCTGATCTTCTCCTGAGAGGAACAGATACAGTCTGAGCAAAGTCAAATAACAGTTTAACTATGGTGAACGCACACCAAAATCTACTGTAGGTGCTGGTTAATGCACTGAACAAAAATGAAGATGATGGCACGCTTTTAAAATTCCATAATTTGTTAATATAATCCACTTTTTGACCATGACTTCCCCAAGGCTAAGAAAGAGCAATATTTATTGACAAAGCATGGTTCATTTCTGTAATACGATGATGCCAAGATTCCTGGAAGTCATCGTTTCTGGCTGCTTTTGCTAAGAAACTGTTACAAAACTTTGTTTTTAAAAATCTCATTCTCATAAAGAATAGAAAAAAATTTCTCTCTCAAAATGTTGAAAATGTTCCTTAAATGAAAAACTCAGAGGAGAATCAGTTCTGTAAAGCATTTTTTTTATATGAAGTTGATCATTAAATTATAATGAAAACATTTTTTACAAGATATTTTTCATTCAAGTTGTGTAATTTTACAGAAAATGATATTATAGATAGATAGATAGATAGATAGATAGATAGATAGATAGACGTCATTAGACCATGTAGGCTGAATTAAAAATGCTCGACTCTTACCTGAGGGGAGAAGTAATGTGTTCTATGATAAACTTCATTCTCTATGAGCTAAAGAGAAACAGGATTGGGAAGTGTTGTAGGACTGTGAAGGTAAAAAGGGGAACTTCACTGAACAGTCACTGTCATGTTTGTGTTTGTGGGTGTGAAACAACTCTTCTCTAAGTAAACCACACATGACACAGAATCATATGGAGTGGCATGATGCTTGCACACAGTCAGTGTGACTTGGGTCACTAGGGACACATTCAGAGCGACAAAAGATGTGGTCAGATGTGATGTAGTGTGTCGTATTTGTCTGTCAGTTCACATTTAGTGTTGACACCAGTGTGAGGTTGTATTGCTGTTGCATCTGGTTGGCTCGTAGACTTTCTTTAACTGCTTTGTTTCCTGTCTGTACCTATGGTGTAACGCTTACAACTCTGGATGGTTGTGTACATATACACACATACTGTGAAGGCTCAGGCCTCTGTCCTAGCCTCCATCAGGTGTTATGATATACTTTCTTTTTTCACACTGGTGTCTGTATTATATTTGAAAATGTAACATTTTGGTTATAGCTAACAAATGTAACAAAAATATTATCCATAAGGGTCTGGAAGGTAGGCCCACCTGACTGCGTTATCGCTTAGCCACACTATGATTTGTGGCTACACTACTGTTTCCATCTAAATAACTAACTGAAAAAAAAAACACAGTCTCAGATTTTTGTTGTTTTATTGGGATAGAAATGAATAAAAACAAGGATGAATTCACGTTTTTCCTGCCAGGATCCGTTGAACATTCTGCGGAGCTGTGGTTGCTAATCTTTACAACCCTCTGTGGAATTTCTCAGTGTAGTGGATGAATTTACAGACTGGCTGATGGCAAAAAGTGCAATATAAAGAAAACAGGGAGTAATTTGAGGCACAGCATGTTGCTGCATTTATTCAATGTTTGACAGAATGGGAAGCACAGGGAAACAAATCTGTGTTCAAGCACAAGTGACAGGTATATACTACTCTCCAAATACCACTGTATGAGCATTAGGTACAGTAGCAGTACTCTGTTTGCCTTTTAGTGATTGTTGATTTCTTAGAATTTAACCTTTCTATGATGTCTTACCAAGCAGCCACTATTCTGTGTAGTGTTATAAGAGCTTGTTGAATTACTGTTGCCTTCTGTTCTTCCTTTTGTGGACTGTGTGTTTATGTGTATGTTAAATGAATTACTGTGTTGCACATCCTATGGGGATTTCATGTACAGTAGTTTCCTTGTTGCTGTTTTATTTTATTTCCACAGTACCTTTGGTCTAACTTAGTGATATTCTGCTGTCTTTAACTTTTATTGGAGGTGTGTTCAGCTCACTGCACAGCTGTGCACCTACATCTAGTGATGCCAGAAGAGTTAGACCAACAAGACACTGTATAAGCCAATCTGTCCCCAACTCACACAAACACATGGGGTCTTTATTAGTCTTGTACAGTGATGAAAACATATTGGGATGTGTTTGAAATATTTTGTCACCAGTGAGAAAAAGGATTTTAATGTGGCTGAGTTATAGTTTCAGTTGTGATCAATACAAAATTGTTAATTACTGGATTCACAAAAAAGCAAAGTTAGAAATCAGCTTTGGTACAAGTCTGTGGAAAAGGTTGTTAGTGAGAGCTGGGTGCATCCTGTTCTGCTGCATCAGTTTTAGATGCGTTTTATAGTTTAACATTCGACGCTGAGTCTTTTGCAATGACCCGAGTAACCGCCACAGTTAACCGCTGTCATCAGGTTTTGTGACTTTAGACACAAAACAAACACAGCAAATCAATTTATAACTGTGTGCCTCTGTCCCTCTGTCTCTCTTTGTGTGTGCAGAGGCCACAGTGGTTAAACACGGCGCATCAAAACCTGAGGAGTGTCAGTTTCTATTACACAGCAAAACACAAGAAAACACCCCTTCTCTTAGCAACAAAGCTGCTATGTGCACTCACTACAGGCAAACTATGTACAAATAAATGATCATAGTACAGACTCTTTTTATTTGTAGCAGAACTTCTATGAATGCAAATCGCTTCATAACAAAATGTACACATTGATTAGTTAGGATTTGTTCTGTAAAGTAGAAACAATTTTATGGCTTTGGTCATTTTGTCATAAAATGCACAAATAAGTAACACAACCTCTTAGTGATTTTAACCAAAAATATATAACATTCATTTATTTGTATTAAAATGAATCCCAGAGGCCTCTCATTTCCCAGCAGAAGTCAACGTATAGCATTGTTCCATTCAGTCTGACTGAAGAAGATACACAGTAAAATAATGCAGCTTGTTAACTTGGTGCATTATTTTTAACTTAAAAATAGTAGTGTACCAGAACTAACAGTTCACAGCATGATATACTGACACTTGATCCTAAAAAGACACTTGAAAACAGTGGCATGAAAAAGTGAACCCTTTTGAATGACCTGGTTTTCTGCATTAATGCGATATAATGAGATCGGATTTTCATCCATGTCACAAGACAAACACAGCTTATAACACAGACTGTTCTAATCTTTTGTGCTTTTATTAAACACAGCCATTAAACATTCTCAGTGCTGGTGGAAAAACTAAGTGAACCCTTGGGTTTAATAACTGGTCGAAGGTCCTCTGGCAGCATTGACGTCCTGGAGCTGTGGCTCAGAGCTGCACGACGTCCAGGACGAAGTCTGCACCAGTCTTCTCACAGAGCTGCTTCAGCTCAGACATATTCTCAGGACGTCCGGGGCGAGCACACCCTGAGCTCGTTCCACAGCATCTCTGTTGGCTGAGGTCTGGGCTCCCACTGGGCAAAAGGTGGATTTTCTTTGTTTGAACTCAGAGAACTGTAGATTTACAGTGTTGAGTGTTAGATTTCAGTGTTGAGAGTCATTGTTCTGCTGCATTGAGAATTTGTTTTCCCCTTGTCCACACTCAGAGGCAGAAAAGCAGCCCCGCACCATGATGCTCCCTCCACTGTACTTCACTGTTGGGATGATGTCTTCATGTTGGCATGCAATGCCCTTTATACACCATGTGTAGTGCTGCCTGTTCATCTCAAACAGTTCGACCTTAGTGTCATCAGTTCACAACACATTTTCCCAGTAGTATTGTGGAGAGTCAAGATGCTCTTTGGCAAACTTCAGGTCTGCAGCTTCCTCTTCTGCCATGGGCACCATGCTCCATGGTGTGGTAGACTCATGGACAGAGATGTTAACCAGCTCCAGTGGTTCTGTTTTATCCTGCTGTCTTTATCTGTTACTCTGGGCTTCTTTTTCGCCTCACTGATGATTACGAGCTGTGCTTCTGGAGTCTGGGCGCCCACGTCTATGGAGATTAGCCACAGAGCTAAAGATTGTCAAACTGCGACCTGATGAGTATCTAAACTCTTTGAGATTAACTTTGTAACCCTTTCCAGCTTCATGCAAATCAACACTTACTGATCAGAGGTCTTCTGAGATCAGCTTTTAGCGAGGCAGGGTTCACATCAGCAGATGGTATTCAGTGTCTTTGTAAGCCAGAGTGGCTCTAACCCAGACCTCTGCTCTGGTTTCACTGATTGGACTCCAGGGTTGATAACACCTGTCACCAGTTCGCTTTTGTTGATGTCATGAGCCGAGGGCTTCACATGATTTTTCACACTGTGAACGTTTGAATGGTGAATTCAGTTTGAGCGAGAGTAATACAATGACTTGGGTAATGAAAAAGTTTGTGTTTCTTTGTTTAAATGAAGATCTGTTCATACTTTAAGACAAATTTACACATAAATGCAAATAATTCCAGGGTTCGGTTACTTTTTCTGGTCTGTGTGTAATAAAGTATCATAACAGGTAACAGCTGAAGCTCCCAGGAGGTTCTGACATTTTAGTGACAGTGTGGACATCTACAGGCAAACAGTTGTCCCTGTTTAGTGTTACATCTCTATACAATCCTCTGATATTTCCTCTCTGCTCATTCTGAGACCGGGGGAGTCATCAGACAGTAGCATTGAGCGACTGGACAGATGAGAAATGCACATCATCAATAACAGCAGACTTGTTAAGGGGGTGAGCCCAGTCTGGAAACGTGTCCAAGTTAAACATGGCAACACCCCATGTGTTCATGGCCAGAGAGACTGAGAGGACACCCAGGATGTTCATCACAAAGCCGGTCTTCACCTGAGAAGGCACAAGGACAGCTATAGCTGTGAGTTACATATTTTACAGTAGTGCCAACTACTGCTATGAGGATCTTACCATGTCTTTGACCATGAGATGCCCAGACGCAAAGGCGATGGAGTTGGGTGGCGTGGACACTGGCAGCATGAAGGCATATGAACATCCTATTGTGGCAGGTATCATGAAATACAAAGGGTTCACTGAGGCATGAATAGCCTGAAAAAAAAAACCACCAAAGCATTTAGATTAATCTCATAAACAATGTACAGAGCAGATTTTTTTCAATAGTTGAATAACACTCTTCAAAAGTTGGTTCACAGTATTTAGGCAATTATTGTTTAAACTCATAAAGCTTTGTTCTTCTAGCCAAGACCTAAAGGTGTGTAACAATAGTGCTTTACTGATGTCAAATGGGTTATGTATTGCACAGAGGTTAGCTGGACTGAACATTAACTTTGCCTATATCTTTTCAGTCTTTTGAAATGTCTTTATGCTATATTTTATTGCAGGGGTTGAGAATAAGATTCAACTATGATCTAGTGTTTATTGCTGACTTTCTTTCCAGCCTGTTGCAGAACAAGGTCCATCAGCCCTAGTTTGCATGAATCCCTTCACATGGGGGCCTTTTTAGATATTTTATATATATATATATTACAAACATAGCAACACCTGCTGCAACAGCTTATTAAGCCTATTAAGCCTTTGGCCAGCACAGCTGGCTGGTGAGGTCAAATACAAACCCTGTTTCCTGTCCGGTTCATGAGTGTCTAGTTTGTCTACCTGGCTGTCATCTTAGACAACTGGAAGACATTAAGCTAAATGAAGTAAGTTAAAGATCAATCTTACCAGTTCAGTAATGACAGGTAAAAATATTATAATTGTGGCAGTGTTGCTGGCCAACTCAGTGAAACAGGCCAGGAAAGCAGTGATCAATATCACAGCTGCAGCAGGAGGGACCTTGGCCAAAGGTTGGAGGTGGCCTCCGATCCAGGAGGCAAGTCCAGACTCCTGCCAAACACCACAAGATCATGCTTAATGGTCAAAGATCAAATCAAACATAATAAAGCAAAGTGGAGACCAGAGCCAAGCAGAGCAGAGCAGTAGAGAGGAAACGGGACAGATGAGAGATACGTTTCAGTACACAGACTTGGGACAAAGCAAATTGTAAAGGAAGAGTGTGACAAGTGGAGAAACGCGCTTGTTCATTTCACTGCTGAGAGTCAGATGAGAAGATTAATATCACTCTCAAATACAGTTTACATTACATATACTGTAAGGCTACAGCCAGCAGTTGGTTAGCTTAGCTTAGCATAAAGACTAAAAACAGAGGGTAAGAGCTAGCTTGGTTTTGTCCAAGTGCAAAAAAGAAAACAAAATCCACCTTCTAGTGCTCATTATTTAGCACATTAGAAGTTGTCTAATCTACAGAAGTGTAAACATGACATGCTGGGGTTTTATGGGAGCTTAAGGTGTTAAGTAAGACTTTACCCTGAGAGGTTAGATTAAACAAAAAAAGACAACCAATAATTAGTGTAGGTGGGTTTTTAACCCTTGAAGAGGGCCAGGGTAGCTGTTTCCAGTCTTTATGCTAAGCTATGCTAACAGGGTGCTGACTGAAACGTCATGTTTAACAGACAGACACTAGAGTGGCTTTTCATCTAAGCCTTGGCAAGAAGGCAAATATTTCCCACTACTGCTGTAACTAATCTGAGAAACAGGACTATTCAACAAGCCTGATTTCAGTGGATATACACAGTTCCTACATATACCTCACAAGCTTTGGCCATAGCGAAGCCGCCTCCAAGCAAAAGCATAATATTCCAGGGAACAGTCTCCTGGGCTTTCTTCCATGATAGGAGCGGGACATAAGGAGTGTTTGAAGCTGAGGCAAAATACGGGAGGAAACAATACAGAACATAATTTTAATTTAAATTTTTTTTATACTATATACAGTGAAACAGAATTCAGTATAAAGCTGTTATGTTTCAGTGCTTGCAAATATTCATGATTTATTTATCTTAGGAATGTCATGTTTAATAGGCATGGTTACTGGTGCGTGCTGGTGCAATGAGAGATTAATGTAACGCAAATAAGCTTCAATGATGCCACTGGTTGGGCGGCACAGCAGCACAGTGGTTGGCACTGTTGCCTCACAGCAAGAAGGTTCCGGGTTACCATCAACCTGCGTAGCCCTGAAATTCTTCTATGCTGTATAATATTTTTAGTATAGCAACCCAAGATTTTCACTGACCCCATCTGCCCACCCAAAATATTTTCTGCATGTACCACTGCAACAAAAAATATATTTAAGTGAAATTTTAAGATAAAAAAACTAAGCCACATATTTTTCTCTGCAGTGTTTGATGTCTAATTTTTCTTGTGTACTGTGTTTTATACATTGATTTGATCATATCTACACTATATTCTTACATGTTTTGTGAAGTTTTGGTGAACCAAAGACAATTCCCTCACTCTAAAATTTGACCTACACTGAGAGGGAAACATGAACCCCAGGATTTGCTTATTTTTTGCTTGTGTCCAGTGGTTTATTTGGCCAGCTGAACATAATATACACAATAGCACACCCACGTGTTTCCAACATGTGCAGGACACGCCTGCGTGCATGCTCACACACACACACAAACCCCAAAGTGTGATATAATAAAGAGTTTGAGAGATTACTCTAATCACAGGAACAGAGAAACTACAGTTTCTTTTCCAGGCGAGAAACTTACTGAGTCTCTCTAATCTACTTTATTAACATTCCTCAGCTTATTCTCACTATTTTGCAATAGCTGTGCTAGAGACACAGACTGTCTTTGAATCTTTCACACATATTTGTCAGCAGTACCTTCCGACTGACAAGCTGCTGACTGTTTTCTTTCATCTCATTGATGAATGATGTGCTTATTTTGTCACACTGTTATCTTTTTTATTTATAGTTTCTAGTAAAGCATTAGTCAATAAAATAATGGTTTAATTTAAATCTGAATCATTTTTTCTTGTAAATTACATTTCCCTTCACAGGTGTGTTGTTTAAGAGGTCACTGACCTTGAGGGTCTAACCACCACCTCAGGGAAGGCTTCTGCGAGGGGAAGAAGAATAATATAGACACAATGATCACACCAGTAACTGCATCTGAGACGTACCTGCAGGACAACAGGACAAGGAGATCATTAACAGAGAAACACAGATAACAGGCAGCTCACAAGCAAAATGCAGTATATTGTGTTCTAACCAAGTGTACCTTACCCTTTTTTAAATAACACAGACCAGCCAGGGACAAATTTGGGGTCTCTTGTAAATAGGAGAACAGCAAACAATATAAAAAAGAAAGAGACGGCTCCCTCTGCAAACCTGAAATTGAGCATGTAGAGTATAAGTGAGTCGAATGCTCTGTCATAAAAATTTACAAATTTAAAGTCTATTGCATGAAATTTAAAGACATACACGAGTCCTCACTTTATGGGCCCTAGTTTTCTGTAATCTTCCACTATTAGAGCCTTGGCTCTGGCCTCTGCCTGGGATCTTTGCTCGTCTTTCTTGAAGCACAGTCTGCATAAAATAAGAACACACTGTGTGACACATGCTGTGTTTGGGAAAAAAGAAATGAGAAGAGCATTGCTCTATATTTATTTAAAAAAGAAAAAACTATTTCTGACTGTACATTTAAAAGTGTTTCCATCATATGAAATCATGACATTTGACCTTTACTGGTGATTGTTTGAGTAATTGAATAGTTAAACAAAAAGAAAGTACAGCTACAGTATTTTGGAGCTATCTTGATAATCACTTAATAGTTTCAGTAACATTGCCAAACATTTCCTTCTCAAATGAAAAGATTTGGTGCTTTTCTTCATCATGTATGCCAGTAAACTGAATATATGGGTTTTTGTGAATTGGTCGGTCAAAGCAAGTATTGTGAGGATGGAAAACCTTTTTTTTTTACATTTTCTAGACCAAATAATCAATAATCAATTAATTGAGAAAATAATTAGTCCAAAAAATTTGTCTGTAATGAGAATAATCATTAGGTGCATCTAGTAGTTAGCAATTGTAAAGAAGTCAATATAAATGTCACTTTAATATGACTGTACTGTCTAACATTTTTTAAACTGCAAAAAGAAAATGTCTGACATCGCATTACCGTGTGTTCAGTCCCCCGTAGAGAAACGCGATCCATAGCCATGCCAAAAACAGGAAAAGAAGCATGAGTGGGAAGGAGAATGCAAACCAAGAGCCAAAGTTGATAAGATCGCAGTCTGGAAAGTGGCTGCAAAAGCAAAGGACCTGGTTCCAATTATATTTAAAATGACTGTCTTAGGGTTTAGTTGTCTTAACTGTGCAAAATTAAAGTTACCTTTTCAACTGTCCAATCAGGATGAGGTTGGGTGCAGTGCCGGTCAGCGTGGCAGTCCCTCCAATGCTGGCTGCGTAAGGAATACAGATCAAAAAGCCTTTCCAGACCTTCAGCTGAATCTTCGACTCTGATTGGATCTCCTCCATGGTCCTCACCTCAGTCTGCTCTGTTTCATCCATCCTTTTGAAGTTTTAAGAGACTTATCATTATTTTACATAAGCAGTGGATCATTATATGAGCTTTCCCATTATATGGGATCATGTAAACCAGAAAAATGTTTTAAGGAACAGTTTTGCAATGTGGGAAATATGCTTATTTGTAGCTGAGATTATCATGAGATGACTGATACCACGTTCACATCTGTGCAGTAAATATGAAGCTGTTCCCCCATTTCCAGTCTTTATGCTAAGCTAAGATAACATATTCTGGTTGTAGCCTTACATTTAAATAAACATGAGATCGAGTTTCTCATCTCATTTCTCAAAACCTGAAACTCTTCCTTCAAACAACACCATCAAAATGCCATTTGAGTTAGATGCTGAGGTGTGTACAGGACCGTGTTCATCTTACTTACTGTCCTTCAGATAGTATTTGTTTTTCCGAGGGCACTGAATGCAGCTTTAGAGTAAGCTGATCTGAAAAACAAAGTGAACCAATGTTTGTGTCAGGTTTGCATGTTACAGTGACAAGAGAAAACAGTAAACTCTATGTAGTACAAACATGAATAACATTATGAGTTTTAGCTCAGAGGGGGCTGTCCCTTGGACATATTTAATATATTACTAAGTCAATAAAGTGTCATTAATCATCTACGGCTTCAGTATTGATCAACTTTGTGTTTAAGCAGTCAGAGTACTGGGAAAACTGTACAAAGAACACTTTTTAGATTACATATTAAAGGCTCATGCAAACAAGATAAACAGGGGACTAATCATCTCTGCTGTTTGTTTACACATTGTTGTAACACGTGAACACATTTTGACAATAAACCAACCATTTTAATCTACATGCATTGATTTTTTGATCATTTGGCGCAAGCTGCAAACACAGAATTAGCATATAATCACCTTTTAAAGCTGATAGGGCAAACCTTTTAGCTAACAGTTGCATGATGATTTATTACCCATCTGATGAAAGTGAGTCCAATATTCAGACTCTTAGCTCTATTTTTGGTCTTTACAAACTTCTAAGGAAATATCTCTTCACCTTTTAGTCTCTAAATGTGTCTGTCTGCTGTTTGGTGCTAAGCAGGTAGTGTATCATCAGGTCTAAGACCTTTTCCACCGAAAACAGCTGCCTGCTGGGCCAGAAAACCAAAACAGTGAGCTGGAACTAAGGTGTGTTGATACTGTAGCTCTCTGGGTTAATCACTGAGTGACTCCTTTAACATTAAAACCAGACATTTCATCCATTGTTCATGTAAAATTATTTAGAACAGCTTTAAGTAATGACATGAAGCCCATGCACGGATACTTGTAGTAAAACTATGAAAGTATGCAGCGTACCGATTATTATATCACTGTCTGGGTCCTCTGCGAACTTGCTCTTTTGTTTCAGGGTCTCCAGGTCTCCAAACAGATTCTCCAGGATGGCATTAGCAATGGGTAGCATCATGGCTGTGGTGGCGGTGTTGCTGAGCCACATGGACAGGAAGGACGAGGTCATCATCATTCCCAGTATGAGCCTGGGAAAATAAACCCACAATCAGAAATCTGTAAACACTGATCAGCATCGTGGATAGCGTCAAAATAAGCTGCCTGTACAGCACTAATGTTTGTAACAGTGATAGACCATGGTGTGTAACAGTTTGGTTACTGATGTGCTTTAGTTTTTGAACAGTGATGGAGCTCTATAACACAGAGGAATAAGATCAGACTTTGGAAAAACAAACACTACTTGTTATTGGTTTGGGTCTTTTCATTGGATTTACTGACAATGACATAGATATAGATTATCAGTACACTCATCATTTAAACATGCCTGCAGCAAAGTTTTCTCACCAGGCTGGTTTCACTCCAACAATGGTAAGGACCTTCAGGGCTATCCTGTGATGCAGGCCACACTCCTCGACAGATGACGCCATGATAAGACCACTGAGGAAGAGAAAATTGGTTTCGAGGAAGTATTGAGGGCATATTTGTTTGGATGGAAGAATTCCCAGTGTTGGGAAGAGGCAAACTGGAAGCATCGCGGTGACAGCCAGAGGAAGGGCGTCTGTGCACCAGAACACAGCCATCAGCACCACCACATAAAGACATTTTCCCTCCTACAAAATAAGCAATATAGTTGTTAATGTTCAGCCAGCACAAGAAAAGCCATCGCGGGATAACAAGAAACAATATAATGAGCTACAGGACTGTTTCACAGATGATGGACTATCTGTTTTTGGGACTACAGTATTAAAAATACTGTGCGTCTGTCTGAGAAAGAGATAAGTAAAATAAAATTCAGACCAGATACATACTGTAATGACTGTCCTAATATAAGTACAATAAATAAAACATGCCTAATTATTTATTCCATTAATTGTTTAGCTTATGAAACACACTGCTTGAGGTTTTATGACGGAGATATTCACTCAGTAATTAACTACCATGAACCTGTGAACAGAGTTCCCTGCAGACCTCCATCTTATATGTTATTAATTCAGGATAAGACCCCAAAACCTCTCAAATAACAACAACCTGCAGGTATTGTGGCAGATACCTCCTTAAACCCTCAGATGTTACTGTACTGGGAAATTTATATAAGCCAGTACACTCTGGCTCTTTGAGGAAGTGTTAAAGCCGAAATGAGCTTTCTCCGCAGGGCGGCCGGGCGCACCCTCAGAGATAGGGTGAGGAGCTCGGTCACCCGGGAGGAGCTCAGAGTAGAACCGCTGCTCCTCCACATCGAGAGGAGCCAGCTGAGGTGGCTCGGGCATCTGTTTCGGATGCCTCCTGGGCGCCTTCCTAGGAAGGTGTTCCAGGCATGTCCCACCGGGAGGAGGCCCCGGGGAAGACCCAAGAGGGAAGTCTGGGCATCTTTGCTTAGACTGCTGCCCCCGCGACCCGGTTCTGGATAAGCGGAGGAAAATGGATGGATGGATGGATACTTGACTAAACATTGATTATCATTGGTTAGACATTGATTAAACAGTAATTATCAATCAAATCTTTATTTTATGCATGGTACAATTATTTTTGTTACTTCCTTAGCCTGGTTTGGTTTGACCAGGCTAAGGAATGTTGGCCCCATCAAACCAGGACCTCCAGCATGCACTGGGGCGGTTTGCAGCCGAGTGTGAAGCGGCTGGGAGGG